AGACTGATTGCTCCTCCACAGAGGGGCTGAACGTCTCCACTAACCAGCAGGACTCAAGAGTTGGAAAGCCCTGGGCACCCCCCCAGCTGAGGGTGGTGGGACAGATGGTGGGGTCAGAAAGACCAGTGAGAAGAGGTGGAGCTCCTGGAGCTGCCCACTCCCGCAGGACCGCCAGGCTTCCCGCAACACCTTGTATCCGCTGCGCTAATAAACTTTCCTGACCTGCCGCTCGCCTCGGCTGCTTTAGGGGCGCGGGCCACCAAGAGCAGGGAGCAGAGGGGGGCGAGACGCCCCACAGAGCCTAGGGAGCAGGCACAGATCCCGCCTCGGGTCACTGCCACAGGGACGTGGGTGCTCATGCCCAGCGCAATATGTGGCACTTCCCGTGCCCCGAGTACAAATTCACAGCCCCGAGGAGCTGAGGGCTTCCTGCCAAAGACGATTTATTCCGTTTCCAGGAGAACTCAGCAGGGAAATGGGAACACAAACCCTCTTCCAACACACTGCTTTCCCAGGCGCGGGGGGAAGGGTACGGGGAGGGGCAGGGAAAGCCTCCCGGCAGCAGAAGGGCTCGGCCCCTTTCCCCCCTCCTTCCCTCCCCGGGGACAGGCAGCCGTGCAGAAGGAGCAGCTCGGGAAGGCGCAGGGTGCGCTCCCCATCCTGGGAACAAGCCACACGCCTGGCTTTTCCCAGGCACACCCCTGCGGAGATCGCTGAAAGGCTGTGGGAGCGAGGACCAAGAGCAGGATGGTTCAAAAGCAAGGCAGGTGGGATAGGAGAAAGCAGGAGGCACCTAAAAGGCTGGTAAAGCAGAGAGAAGAGACTCTGCCCTGTCACAGAGCCAAGAGGAAGGCATTACAGACCTCAGCTGCACCAGCTGTGTATGGCAGGACACCCAGACCCCAACATTAGGAGAGCAGCAAAGCACCCACCCTTACTTAGGAAATACGCACACCATCTCTGTGGGCACAGGCTGGGTCAGGCAGCGCAGAGAGCAGCAACACTCATGCTCAGAGGGAGTCCGTTCGCTTACGGGCAAACACAGCTGACATGGTCTTGACGATGCCACGGATCCCTGTACCCTTTTTCAGGGCCAGTTTCGTGTCAGGGATGCGTTCGGCCAGTCCACGGAAGACCATGAGGGCTCCGTGATAAGCCTCGGCTGCAGAGACCTCGTAGAAACCACAGTCTAAAGAGCGGGCCAGGAGCCGACCCTCCTCGCTGGACACCACCCGCTGGTGGTGTAGGTCCCGCTTGTTGCCCACAATGACGATGGACACCTTCTCCTGGCTCTGCCTCTCCTTGGCTGCCTTGATGAACTGGATTTTGAGCGGCAGGAGGTTGAAGCTGTCACGGTCACAGATGCTGTAGACCAGGACAAAGCTGTCTGCCCACTGGATTCGCTTCTCCTCCGAGGAGCCCTTCTCTGCCTGCTCCTGGGGAAAGATAAAAGGAAGGGTTTTATCCAGCTCCCTCCCTCCACGTCTGCTTGCTAGCACAGGGTGCAGCAATCCTGAGCCTGTCAGGACAGGGACAGCTAGTGAGCAGCTAAAGAACAGAGAGGAAGAGGAGTAGTGAGGAAGATGTCACCAAGGGGACACAATTCAGGCGTCAGTATCACTGTCCTCACCCTGTCACCCAGCTGTGCCAAGCATTGCAAGCTGTAGGTGGTAACAGCATGGGGACCTCTGAGTGGCACTTCATTAGCAGAGTCCTGTGCTCAGTCCAGGCTGGTAACACTAGTGCTTCAGCTCTAACGTCCTCAGCCAGTGGCCCATGGGCTACGGTGACTATTGCTACCTGGCCAGTAATGCTGCTGCCCTGTGCTCTGCAAGCAAGAAGTGTTCGGTTGCCTACAAACCATATGAGACACAAGAGCTTTGCTCAGCTGGAGCTCCCAGCCTGTGGTGACTTTTTACCCCATAGGTAACTTGCATTAGAGGTTTTTTTGTCACTGGGTGTCAGGAGTGGAGCCTTCTCACCTGGGAATTGGGAACATCCCAGATGTGGAAGAGAATCTCTCGGCCATCCATAGTCAGGGTGTGGCTGTAGATGAATTCTGCCAAAAAAAAAATTAAAATCATCTTCATGGACCCAGGAGACAGCTCCCTTAACCCAGGTCTTCTCCTGGGGACAAGCCTGTCACATCCACCCTGGGAGACCGTGCTCCACAAGGCAAGGTTGGGGGGCTCTTTTCATACAGCAACAGCCACATGGAGCACGGTGGCCTTCACAGATGTGACTGCCCCAGCCTGCCTCTACCCCAGCATTCTGTCCAGGCACACTGGTGCCGCCAGCTGCCACCCAGGACCTTTAGCACTCCAGCAGATCCGGAGCAAAGTGCTGGCTCACTGAACAAATACAACCACTGAGCCCCCCTGGGAGCAGAAAGAGGCTCTGGAGAAAGGCAGGAAAGGATGGGAAGCAATGAAATCCCATGGGCAGAAGCAGACTCATCCCCTGACCCCAGTCCCTAACGGACTGGCCTGGCCCTGGCCTGGCACTCACCCGTGTCTCCATACTCCCCAATGAAGCGCCGGGTCAGGAAACGCACAGCCAGAGCTGCAGAGGGGACGATAAGAACCATCAGAATAACCCTAAACCTGCCAGATTTTCCTTTTCAAATCCAGGCACCATCCCCCTGTGAACTCCCGCTAGCAGGAACAATCTTTCCATTCCTGCCAGGCGCCGGGTCTGCCCGGAGCAGAGGCACAGCACCGCCCGGAGCGGCACAAGGCTGCGGCTCGGCAGA